AAAAAAAAAAAAAAAGGACAAGGAGGAGACTCTTCCGAATCTGAGGTGAGCACAGAGCACCCCATCCTGGTGGGTTCTCAGGGACACCACTGGCATCCAGTAGGCAATGCTGTGCCCTGTGGGAACAGTGCCCAGTGCCATCTTCCTGCGGGCATCTGCCAAGCCTGTTGGAAAAGCCCCTTGGAGGCCCACATGTGCGCCCAAGGCACCTCCTTCTTGGCCTCCGTCTTGTTGATAATCCTGATGATCTTCTGGACGGCGCCCTTGGCCTTCTTCCTGCTGCTTGCTGAGGACAGGAGCGGGAGCCAGGTGTTCCAGTAGCGCCGTGTGGCTAGCATCACTAGCGCGCCGCTGCCTGCTAGGCCTCCGAACCTGGAAGGATGCTCACTCCAGAGGGGTGCTGATGCAGAGGGCTGGGGACGCCCAGCCACACCTTGCCCCAAGGGGAGGGCACTGCCTCACCCTGAAGCTTCCAGATTTAGGAGGGAAGGGATGAGGCTAGGGTGCCCTGGGTCGTCCTGTGGCACAGGCTGTAGGTGGATCTGCCGCGCCCCGCTTCAGCAAGGCCTACCTGTGCTACGGGGCCAGCTCCTGCCCATGCTGCAGAGCAATGGTGAGGCTTGACAGCCACCTCTCCACGAAGACGAGCCCTGGCCTGGCCTCCGTGTTGCTCATCTGCCCCCTCACTGACACTGCTCAGGCCCTTGGCTAGTTCAAGATCCTCCTTTGAGTCCTCCTGTTCTAGGACCTCAATTTCTCACAGAACTGCCTACAGCTGTCCCCAACTCTGAGCGCTGGGCCACAATTCAAGGTGAGGGCAGGGGATGTCCCACACCCCCAGTTCCTCCCTTGGCCCCTCGTGATGTGTCCCAGTGTCCCCATGACACTGCAGGTGCCAGGCCGCAGTGTCTGAGCCCCGCTTGCAGCACACCTGGCGCTCTCCAGGAAGGCCTTGGCCGCTGCCAGCCGCAGCTGCTTCTTGCCCTTCAAGTTCTCCATGATGCTCCGGCCCTTGATGCATGACGCAGTGCACAACATTTCTGCCACCAGCTGGGCCTCCACCCTGGAGGGCAGGGAGATTAGGAGAGGCCTGCCTGTGGCACATGCTGGGTCTCCCTCATTGGGAATGCTGTCACCTCACCTGCGGCCCTGCAAGGTGGCATCTCCAGATGGAGGAGCCATCTCTGTCCCACCTTGTGCACAGCACCCCGCCCTCCTTGAACCTGGATCAGCCACAGAGACTGCCCAGTGATTGCAGGGCAAGTGACTGGGGCCTTCCGAGACCTTGTCACCTTTCCTGTAGTGTCAGTACCACCATGCTCGGTGAGGCCATGTGGTGAGGCTGGTGCCCACGGCCAGGTGGAGAGTCGTGCTGGGGACATCAGGCTATAGGAAAGCAGTTTTAGGATATAGGTGTGAGCTGGGGGGTTCCTGGTGGGGGCCCTTGTGACAGTGATCTTATGAGAGACCTCAAACCAGAATGAACTGTCTGAGTCCAGTCAATCCACAACATGGTGAGAAAGGATCAGTAACTGTGTGGGTTTTTTAATTAATTAATTAATTAATTAGTTAATTAATTAATGCATTTGGTACAGGGTCTCTCTAAATAGCTGTGAATTGTACTGATCCTCCTATGTCAGCCTTCTCAGTGCTGGGATTACAGGCATGCACCACCATGCCTGGTTTCAGGGGCCAGCATGGCACACCCTTCCAGAGCCCTGCACGGCGTGTAGTACCAGGGATTGAACCTGGGTCCTTGCAGTTGCCAGGCAGGTGCTTAGACCACTAGGGTATCTTCCTAGCCCATTAACTGTATTCTGTAACAACTAATTCTGGGTGGTTTGCTGTGCGGCAAAGGACTCACAGAAGCAGCCTCCTCGGGCTCTTTCTCAGTCAGGCTCTATTTCTTAGGCCCAGGAAATTGTCCCCCAGATGGATTTTACTGGGCACCTGGAGCCCAGGTGGCCACACACACCTGGGCAGCACTTCAGCCACATGTCACACCTTTCTAACGCTCTCTCCATGTTTCCTGATCCAGCACAGCTGTGGCATGGGCACCTGCAAACCACTTTCGATGGCGTGTAACTCCCTCCCCTTCATGTACTGCAGGTGGCACGTCCTTGCGATTCAGTCAAATGGGCATCAGATTTATTCCCTGGGAATATGCTGGTCTGTGGGGGCTCACATCAGGGCCCAGGATCCTGGAAGCCCCTCTGGTGGGAGTGGATAGCCACATCTGCTCCGTGCCTGGTGGAGCCAGGCACGGAAGGTGCTGCTGAGCTTCTCTGCACAAAGACCTACCTCGAAGTAAGTCTGTGAGCTGAAGGGGAAGCTGAGGCTATGCAAGGGCAGTAAAGGTGCTGAAACGGCCCTGGGGAGTATGTGTGTCTGCCTGGCGGGGGCGCGGGGGCTCCCTGCTATGGCTTGGGTCTAGCCGTCTGCTCAGAGCCTCATTCCGTCAGCTGTGGGGCTTGCTCAGGGGTGGCTGGATCTAGAGTGTGTGCTGCTGGGACTGATCCACAGTGCAATGCCGGGATCAGAGCTTCAACCTGCATGAAGCGAAATAATGGATACGTGCCAATTGACAGCCATAGCAAAAGAGAAAAAAAATATCACAACATAAAACTAAGCAACCCTGTCACAGATCTAAGCTCTGTGACAATGGTAAGACACCCTCCCTAACAACTCCATCATAAAGACAAAAATTCCCAGGACGTGGTACCAGAGCAAGGACAAGGAGTCTTCATTAGTTTTCTCTCATTGCCGACACAAAATACCCGACACCCAAAGTTAAAAGAGGGAAGGTTTATTTAGCTCACAGTTTGTAGAGGTGTCGGTCTGTAACCGGCTGGCTCCGGGACAGGGTGGCATGGCAGAAAGACGTCAGAGAGAGGAAACAGTTCCGGGTGGGCAGAAACCAGCAAAGCAGCAAGGGATGACCACAGCCCTTTCTGTCCCTTACATCTCATCCAAGCCACTTAGAGTGAGTGGCACGCATACCCCCAAGCCTGGTGCCCTTGATCCCGGCATTGCACTGTGGATAAGTCCCAGCAGCACACACTCTAGATCCAGCCACCCCTGAGCAAGCCCCACAGCTGACGGAATGAGGCTCTGAGCAGAAGTCTAGACCCAAGCCATAGCAGGGAGCCCCCGCGCCCCCGCCAGGCAGACACACGTACTCCCCAGGGCCGTTTCAGCACCTTTACTGCCCTTGTATAGCCTCAGCTTCCCCTTCAGCTCACAGACTTACTTCGAGGTAGGTCTTTGTGCAGAGAAGCTCAGCAGCACCTTCTGTGCCTGGCTCCACCAGGCAGGGTGCAGATGTGGCTATCCACTCCCACCAGAGGGGCTTCCGGGACCCTGGCCCCTGATGTTACTAAGAGAACACACTTTTAGCACTTTTACATCTTATGAAACTGTCTCTCTGGTGCCCCGAGGGACAACTTGGCAGAGACACAGAACTGCTTGCGCTGGTGGCTTGCACGATCCCCGAGCGCTCCATGTCTGCACTGCTGGCCTGTCTGTGTCGGAGGAGCTTTGGGTACACGGAGCTCGTAGTTGAGTCCTGCCTTTCCTACCTGGGCACGGCTGCACCATGATCAGATGCGTTTGTGTTGTTTATGGTTAATGGGGCTAAAGCTGCCATCCCATTGCTTGCTTTCCTTTTGTCTTCTTTTTGCCTGTTTGTTTGTTTTTGTGGTACCAGGGTTTGGACGCAGGATCTCGTGCTTGCCAGGCAAGCACTTGTTCCACTGAGCTAGCTCCTTGACCCCTCCTTTCGTCTTAACTGCTTTAAGACAAAAGGTAGCAGTTTAACTGCTTCACTGCTTCCTCTCCTTGTCTAAATTAACTATGTTTAGTATCTCAATTTATCTCCTTTATTGCCTTTTCCGCTATAACTCACATCTCGTCTCATTTTTCATACCTTCCTGCATTCTTTAGGCTCACTCTGCACCATTTGTTGGTGAGCATAAGGCTTAGAACAGCCAGGGCACAGCTGTCACAAATGCACATGTGGAGGGTGCTGCTGGCGAGGTGCCTGCCCTCACTCGCCGACCCCCATGCCGCACAGCCTGCCTGGCTGAAGGAGCTCCCTTCTTAGAACCGCAGCTCTCCAGTGCAAGGCCAGGAGGGTGGCCCAACATGGGTGACTGAGCCTATGCCTGCCTCAGTTTCCTCATGTGGAACCTGGAAATGGTAGCACCTTTCCCCTGAGCAGAGTCCACAAGGGGATGCTTGTCAGTGTGTTTGTGCCCCTGAACACACGGAGGTTGGCAAGTCACGGACACCATGGGCCGCGTTGCTTTCTGACTCCCAGATCCTCACTAGCTATGTGAATGCAGCTCTGGAGCTACAGCTGCAGCGTGACTCCGTCCTCGTGGGAATGCACACTCAGCAGGAGGTGGATGCCACCTTCCTCCCCAGCCTTGCTGACACAGGTCGGCGCCCCCATATGTGAGCACCTTAGACCTGGCCTCAGCATTAGGATGTCACTGCCCCAGCTACTCACGGGCCCAGTGTCCTCAGGTACTTGATGCCCATCTGTGTGGCCTGCTGGGAGGAGGCCATGGTGATTTCATGGTCGCGGGCAGCGTGGGCGAAGTGGGCCAGCCGTGTCAGGGTCTGCAGCTCCACCAGAGGGTCTGACCAGCTGCACTCAGAGGCCATTTTCATCAGCTTCTCAGTGGCAGGAGAAAAGGAGCTCTTGTTAGTGACAATGACTGCCCCACAATGTGTAGCCCTCAGCAGAGTACTACTGTCATTTAATTCTATAAAATCTCACACGGTGTACACCATTGAACTAGACACAGCTGACTTGGCCTGTGCTACTCCAGACAGATCCAGGACTTATGAAGACTGCTCGCAGCATAAAGCACTGCAGAAGCCTCTTCACTGCCCTTAGCAGCTCTAGGTGGCTCACTGTCTGCATGGCTTCCCTGTTGCAGGTCTGCCTCCAGACCGGGGCAGGCTGTGGGTGCCCACGGATGCCTCGCCGTGCTGTGGGCTCGGGACCAGAAGGACATGGAGAACATACAAAAAGAAGTGCTAGGGTCAGCGGATAGCTCAGCGGACTAAGTGCCTGCTTAGGCAAGTGCAGGGACTGGGGTTCGATTCCTGGCACCACATGCTGCGTCAGCCCCACCCCAAAGGGTGCTGAGCCGGCCACTGAGTGTGGGCGTGGTGGTGCATGACTGTAATCCCAGCACTGGGGAGCCTGAGACAAGAGGATCCCTAGGAGTCTGAGCTGCGTAGCGAGACCTTGCACCAAATGCATTAAAAAAAAATATTTTCCCTATGCCAGGATGCAGAGACTCTCTAAGCAGGAGCTGGAGTTCTGTGCTCCCAGGGAATAAGCACACACAGCTCTGTCAGGAGGTGGGGAGCGTGGTGACCACATGGCCTGGGGTGCTAATTCTGACTGCCTTGGATGGGACCCTCTGGACCTCAGCGCCTTTGTCTCTCCTGGGCGATGGCTTTCTCTGCATACAGATCTGGCCTGATTCCCAGGACATCTGGTGTCACTCACCTGGGCCAGGGAGGGCACAGTGAAATCCATGAGGCCCAGGCCATTGCATGAGTACATCTCGAGAGCGACCAGGACTCTGGTCACAGAGTTGATGTTCTCGTTGGTGCCCTAGGGGGAAGGAAGGCATGCTGAGCATCTGTCAGCCCGAGGCCCTGCGGACCTGGACTACTTATGAATGTAATCCTGTGCAGCATTAGTTTTAATAGCAGTAACCAGATCACAAATTTGGGAGTGATTACACTATAGGCTACTTTTATAAATGTTTACCTTCCACTTGTCCTTTAATGAAAAGGTTGCGGAGCTGTGCCTCCCTAAGCACGTAGGGCTGTACTGACTGACTGCTAGGTGACCTGGTCAGAGGGGTAGAGCAGCCCGGGGCCCCGGGGCTCCCCCGTCTCTGCTTGCAGAGGCCCTCCTGGTCTCCCATGGACCCATCACGCCTGGCTCCCTCTCCTTCTCCTTGGTGCCCGCCCTGGCTTCCCACTGCTCCCTGCCCAGCCTGCTTCTTCCCCTAGGCCTATTGTGGTCCCGCAGCAGGGAGCAGGGAGTGTGTGGTGGCCCTGAGTCCCCACGGGCCCTGCCTCCTCCTACCCCCTCCTTCCACAGACTTTGCATTTGTAGTTTGGAGGGGGCTGTTGCCCGAGGAGGTGACCCTCAGTGTCCCCAGAGGCCCGGAGCTTAGGTCCTATGGAGACCTTGAGCCCTGACTCTCAAGGGAAAGCAGGACAGTGACTTCAGTGGGGGAAGCAGAGGCCCTCGCCCATCCCCAATGGGACATATTCCCCGGCACTGCACCAAAACTGAGGTTGTGATGAGGACAAATGGCCTAATTCCAGCGACAGCCGGGCTGCAGATCCCACTCAGGCCTGTACCTGCCCTGCCCCCAGGCAACCTCAGCAAATCCACAGCACTGGACAGCACCTGCTCCTCTGTTCCCAGCCGGTGCCCGATCTGCAGCTGTAGCAGCTGCTTGGCCTTCACCCAGGTGGCGATGAGCTGCTGCCGCACGCTGACAGGAACCACCTCCTCTGGCATGTTTCCGTTGGTCAGATTCAGCGCAAACTCGCAGACCTGAAAGAGTGAAGCCTTCATTCGCAAAGCTCTGCACTAAGCATGGGGCTTGAGCCACAGCCCAGTCATTAAGCAACGTGAAGGCCTGCTTCTTGGCTGGCCCACAGAGGTGGGCCAGTCCTCAGGCTGCCCGAGGACTCCCGTGGACCTAGCAGCCTCCAGCCCCTGCCCATCCTGTAGACGCACACGTCTTTTGCTTCCTGAATCGTTACTGCTTGTGCAAGGGGCTGGCACCCAGTGCCACAGTAAGAGGGCGAACAGTGCCCCTCTCCCCAGTGCAGGGTCAGTTCTGGGCATGTGGACAGCAAGGCCCAGGACTCCCCAAAGTGGTAGCGTGGATCTGCCACATTTGTAACAATGGGTTGGGACTCCCTTACCTGTCGTATGCCTCAGTTTCCTTACCTTTCAATGGAACTAAAACACCACACACGGGTTATTGTACAAAGCCTGGCCAGTGCTGTAGGCACTGACACTAGGAATGACTGCTCGCTAACCCAGGGTCACTGGACTCCTGGCCACAGCATGAATCCTGGTCCCCATAAAATACCCGGGTGGAAACAAGTCCACAGACAGAAGTCCTTTCTTGCTGTCTTCCTCCATTCAGGCTTCTGGATAAACCCCTGGCAGCCCCATGGGTCCTACTGAGGCCACAGCCTGAGCAGGGCATCCTTCCCCTCCCGCACAGGTTCCCAGGTCCTCCTGCAGCGAGGCTCCTTCCACACTGTCACTACTGCCACTCAGCCCTCCAGTTTCCCTTCACTCCACAGTTTGGAGCAGTGCCCCGCCGGGATTCCACTTCAGGTGCACCCTTTCAGCGCCAGGACCCAGCTGGGAACCTCCCTCTTCCACCGTGTGTTTGTTGGCCACACCAGCCCCTTCCTTTACTTGTCTGCCTCCTTTTCCAGGCTAAGTTGCTACTCCCTGTGACCTTTGCACTGTCCTCCTGTCCCTTCTGGGGATGATGATCTAAACATTAATGCAGCCTCTCTGGCTGTCCTGTGCCGATCTTCCTGGGACTGTCATAGGCATAAGTCATTCCCCTTGTGCAGGAGCCCTACCCAGGTCACTGTCCCTGTGACTCCAGGGCCTTCTCCACCCTGGGTCTTGCTTCTACATAGGCTGGTTCTGAGTGCTGTCTACAGCCACCTGCCCTGGGTGAAGGCCGCAAGCTCTGCAGCTATCCAGAGCACTGTATTGCCAGGGCCTGGATGGCACTTCAAGGCCCCTTGCCTGCCTCTTGTCTCCTCCTGATGGCTTGGACAGTGATAGCTCATCATGTTCCCCAGCAGTGGATGGCACAGGCCTTCCCTGCTTCTGCAGCCCCCACAAACACACCTGGGGACCCATACTCTGGGACTCGGTCGAGGCTCTGATGGTTCCCCAGGAACCCAAGAGGACACTGGCTTTTCTTCAAATTTTACAAGATTGCCTGAGTTCAACAGTTAATGGATTATTGAACTTACAACTGTCATCAATTTAAGACCCATCATTTTTCTCATCAGCAGGGATTACCACAGTGAAATTCCCATTTACTGGGAAATAAACTTCATGGGATAAGTCCCATTGCATGCGTGTTAGTCCCTTACCAGGCTGCTGCCTAACTGTTCCCGTGTGACACGGGTCCCTGACTAGCTCCATTCCTACACTCTCCACTGCCCTGGAAGGAGCAGCAGCTGCAAGCTCTGAGCCATGAGGACCCCTGTCCTGCACCCCACTCTGTTTCCCTTGCATGCCACTGTCTACTCCTCACCTCTCCAGCTATGGGAACCCTGCCAGTCCCTCTTTCTGAATTGCATTTGCCTTCACACCTGATGGGTGGGATCTTCCCTGTCTCATCTAGAGCCTCCACTGACACCTTGGGTCCTGGCCTGAAGCATGCCCAACCCCCCCTTTTTTGTATAAGGTCTTAGATTCATAGTTGATCCTCCTGCCTCAGCCTCCCTAGTACTGTGATTACAGGCACATGCTGCCATGCTCAGTTCCATGGCTGGCCCAGAGAGGCAGAACTGGGGATCAAACTCAGGACTGCACTTGCCAAGCAGACATTTACGCTGCCCAGCTGTCTCCCCAGCCCCCCTCATTCCCTTCTCACTCTCCTGACAGACCATATCGGAGTGGCCTCTCCTCCACTGGGCCCTTCTCACACATGGCCATCCTGCCCCAACCCTTGCACACCCTTGCCCCTGTGGCCTGGTGAAGCCATACCTCCAGGGCTGTCCTAATCTCAGAGGTAGCTCCTGAGTCCAGTGGAACTTGAAACATATTCAGTCTCATAACTTTTTTTGACTTTTCGTACGTCTGGGCGGGAATCCAGCTGATGATGAGGCCTCGAGCTAAGGCATTGCAGAGCATGGCTAACATGACTGGGTTCCTGGAATCAAGTACACGGGTCCTGAGAGTTCCGCCAGGGCAGGGCACACAGTCCACACAGATCCCCACAGTGGTGGCTGTGAGGGCAATGGCACCTGCTCACTTGACTCATCTGTTGGAAGGGAAGAGGTCACCTGCAGTCCTCAGGGCTGTAGCCAGGCCCCCGAGGGCAGAGCTGGAGCCCCTGCTGCTCAGGAGAGGCAAGTCTCAGGACTCCTTGGCCAGAGGGGGACATTATATGACAGGGCAAGGTCTTCAGAGGATCCTGAGAAGAACTGGCCAAAGCAAAAAAGCCCTGGTGTCCAAGGTTGTGTGTCTGGGGCTCCCTGGGTAATGGTCTAGCCCTGGTCATGAGGGCAACGGGCACTGCCAAAGCATGAGACAGTCAGCAGTGGGCCCTGAGGCCAAGCAGCAGGACCTGCCTACATGAGACAGAGAGACACGGCTGTTCTGTGAGGAGAGGTTCAGCTCTGAGGGCACCATGGTCTCTCTCGGGCCACCCAGAATGACCAGGGCTGTGGCAGGACAGTCTGCATAGTGTGTGGGGTGCTAGGCCAAGTGGGTCCTGCCAGGAACTCGTGCCCCTGGAAGGGTAAGCTCTGCTGAAATTGCTTATTTCATGTTTCATTTTCTTTATTACTCATAACTTTAAAAAAAATCACCCTGCACATATGTTGCTACCTTCTGGTTCATTGTAGCATCCTATTTTCATACTTGGGATTTAAAAAAAAAATCCTTTTATTCAGGTTGAAAAATCAAACCACTATTCAACAAAAAAAACACATTAAAATTTCATCTTAGATGAAACTTTGACCCAACTTAATATTTTCAAACTTCTAATTTTAACTGGGAAAATATTAGTCTTTCACAAATTCATATCCACCTAGATAAAAACATATAGACACAAAATTTCAGGCTCTTCCTCAAACCCAGGAGGAAAGAAACAGAGAGTGACTCTTCTGTCTCACTGGAGTGACCTGGCCTCAGGTAGGCATGCCTCTGATCACCTGGAGCAGCCTGAGGCAGGCAGGAGGCTCCATTGCAGTGGTGGCTTTGGCCCTGGAGTGCAGGCCCAGCCCATCCTCGCTGGCCCCTAGTCAGCGTCTCTCCAGCCCGTGCCTCCAGTGTATTGGCCTGACATACGGGTCCTGGTCTGAGAGTCTGTACCTCCCTGAATGTGGACCAGCGCAGCGTCCCCCACACCTACCCATGGGGGCCCATGGCCTTGATGATGTTCAGCAGGTGATGCAGGCTGTCCACCAGCTCCTTCTGCCTCCCAGATGTGATGAGGTGGTGGTTGTGATTCAGGACGTACACCACAGCGTTCTGTACAATCCAGGCTTCGCCTATCTCCTGTCCGATTTCCGCAGAGCGTAACCAGTTATTCATGGCATAGTGTGACAGATTTTCTATCCATGTTCTGCAAACATACACCGTGAAGCATTCAGTTCCACACAAAGCTTCTTCCAAATGAGACGCTGCAGAGGACCCTCCTGGTGGTCCCCGCTCAGTTATGCAGGGATGTTTCAGGCCGTCTCTGCAGCCCGGGGTCTCAGATAGGAGCCCCTGTGGCCATCCTTGGCCTGGTGCTGCCCTCCTAGACCCTCCTACAGCCTACCTTGCTGCTCCCTGATCCTGCGCTATTTCCTGCCTGCCAGCTCCAGTCTGTCCTCCTTGCTTTCCACCTGGCCACTGCCCTTTGCGCCCTTCCCACGGTGTGAGCTCTCACAGGGCACTGGACCCTGCTACCTGCTCTGAGCAGGAACACCCAGGCTGAGGCCCTGGCTAGGACGCCTGTCCACACTACAGGCACCCCACACCTTGGCCTCCTCCTCTTTCTAGTCCTATCACATACAGGCTTCATGGGGGTCATTCGCTGTTGCTCAGCACCACAGTGTGGGGACAGTGTCTGTTCTGCTGGTCCACACGGGGAAAACTTTTTCTAGAGTTCAGACACTCAGTATTTTAGGTTTTGCGAGCTACATGTAGTTTCTGTTGCCTAATTTTTCCTTGTTTTAAAATTTTTGATGCCGAAGCCTCCTTTTACTGTACATAAATGGCCTAAGTCCTTGCATGTGGACACCCCATCCAGAAGCAGGGCCAGAAAGGTGTTCCTGTCCCCTACCCTGTGACAGTGGGCTCAGGGCATGGACCCAGGGCGGAGTCTGGGGCAGCTACAGGTGTCACCATGCTGCCGATGAGCCATTCTCTTCCAATGCCTGGAGAAACATCTACCTAGAATTGTTGCTGCCGTCTCTTTCCTCTCTGTTCGGCAGCGCTCAGTAAGTCATGTACGGGAAACAGACTTGCTTTACGCCCCATTGAATCAGAAGCACCATTCAATGGTGCTGCTTCTGTCATACAAATATTAAGTCTGTTCCTTCATTTCCACATTCATCTTGAAAAGTATTTTAGATTAGCAAGTCGCTAAAGTCCATTATTGTTGATACATGTACCTCAGTTTCATGGGCAGATCTTTTGAGACGCTCTGTGCCAACTAATGTGTGTTACTTGTATGCAGGGACTGCTGGGGGCTCAAGCTGCTCTGTGACAGCTTTCTTTTAGGATCTGGACCACAGAAGCCGCTCTTCTATTTCTCTCCACTGGTGCTGTTCCCTGCATCGCTCAATTTTAGGATAGCGAGGAAAGCTAACGAAGGGGGTCAGAATGTGATTTGCCAAAACCAACCAGAGAAAACAGTCACCCGCTTCCTTCCCCTGTATTAGCAACACACTGTGCTCATGGCCTCGCTGGGAAGCGCTGCTGAGAGCTAGATTAAGCCACAGGTCGTCTCGCTTCATATCTAATGCTCTGACTTTAAGTGAGAATGGATATTGCCCTGCCAAAGAACCCCACGGGTACAGAGGGGCTCTTGAGCCCTCAGTCTGCGCTACCGCCAGAACTGCTGCCCACCTGTATGTGATCCACTCTGTGTTTGCCTCCAGGGGCTCAGGCACGTAGCCAGCGGGGTGCTGGCTCAAGTCTTCAGGGGGGATGGCCTGGTCATTCAGCTCCACGCCCTCTGAGTGCAGCAGGTGGACAGTGGCCTGTAAGGAAGGGCACAGTGGGAGAGGGCAGGGCCTGGCGGGGGTCTGGTCCTGGGAGAATATACAGCCAAACACGTCTGCTTTGGGATTTGATTCTGAAAAGGGCACACGGAAGGCAGAGATCTGCAGGATGAGCCCCCTCCCCGCTGCCTGCCTTGATGGCTGTCACGTTACCACAAAGATGTACATCTGGGGAAGGGAAGAGTGGGTTTCAAAAGTGAGCCTTTACCCACGGTTGTGCCTCTGGAGATGGGCAGATGTTTCTATGTTAGCAAATGCCCAGGTATTTTCAAACCTTCTTGACTGCTTTGCATAACTATTTTTTCAGTATTAAAGATTAAGAAGCCCACTGGGGACAGACTGAGGGAGTCTGAGGATAAGTGGGTCTGGGTGACACTGGGCTGGGTAAGCCTTGGGGTCACAACCGGCTATCTCACTCCATAACCCAGCTCTGCCATCAGACCACTGGATCCCTGAGCATAGGTTGGTTCTGATTGGGTCCGTGTCCCTCAGATTCTTACTGAATTAAGCACAGTGCCTTGGCCTCAGCTTTGTGTCCACTTCTGAGAGCTCTGAGAATCTGAAGTCCATGTCACAAAGCAAGCAAGGGTGCGGGGCTAAAAGCTCAGACCTGAGGCTGACGGGTAGGCTTTGGACTTAGCCGGGCCACACTTTGCCCACTGACTTTAGGCAAGGCTGGTCCCACATCCCAGCCTCCCTGTGCTTGGGGAAAACAGATCTGGGGGGCTGCAGCTGTGAGTCCAGGATGAGGCCACGGAAGCATTTCCAAGACCGCACCTCCCTCTTGTGCTTATAAAATTGAGTCCTATGAAACCCCCCTGTAGTGGTTGGTACATTGTGTCAACTTGAGGAGCCTAGAAGCTTAACTCAGCGGGGAGCCAGGGGTCTCGCTCTGTAAGCATCCTCATCCTATGCAAGAGGAGGGCCGGGAGATGGTGAGCGCTGTGCCGCCCTGAGGGCAGTAGCCTGCATATAACATAAGGGAGGAAAGGAGGCTGGCCCTCCGTCCTTGTTGGTCTTGTTGCTTTTGCTCTCTTCTGATGGCCTGAACTGCTGCTCTTACCACACCACGGTGCCTTGGGGCCAGCTGGTCACAGACTGAAACCTCCACAAACTGTGAGCTGAATGAACCCTTCCTTCCTTAGTTTGGAGTGTCAGGTATTTTTGTCTCAGTGACCTAAGACACCCCCAAAATGTAATGTCAGTTACCTGTTGCACTTAACTTTTTCCCAGAACTCATGAAAATTTCTCCCCTTGACATAGTTTTATTTGGAGAGCAGAGGTGGGGTCCTGGGACCCATATCTCTAAGATCCACAGCAACAGCCTACACTGGCCCCAACCCGCCATCCCAGCAGACCTCGAGGATGAATGGAAGCAGCTTCGTGACCCACCTCAGCGCTGATGAAGCCCACCTCTGCGAACTTCCGCAGCAGGTAGGGGGATGTCTGCTTCTGCAGGGCCAGGTGGGACTGGCTCCGGGTCTCATGCACTGAGCCTTCTGCACCCCTCTTCTTCTTTCCTGAGGGGAACAGCACTGTGTAAAGGTTGCCTCTCTTCTACCAAAAAAAAAAAAAACAGCAGAAGAATTCCTGGCCTGCTCCCTGACGTCTAAGCCTCTCCCCAGCTCTGTGCAGGACCCACGCAGGTACATCTGTTGGGGCAAGAGGGGTGGCAGTGTAATGATGGTCCCCGAGCAGCCGGCACACCAGTAGGCCAAATCAACCCAGCAACAGGTGGCAGAGATGACAACCAGTGGCATCTGTGCTAGTGCTAGATTATTGTGAGTTGTTATTTGTAGTCAGCTGCAAGTACAGCTCCACAGTGACACAGGGATTAGCTCTAGGACCCCATATGAGTACCCAAACCCACAGGTGCCCGGGTGCATTACAGAAAATGCCCCGTGCTTGCCCACAAGGTGCACATATCGCCCCGTATACTACACACCAGTTACCACACTAGCACAAGGTAAGTGCCCATGAGTAGTGATTACACCGTATTGCCTGGGAGACGCGTGTACGGGACCACGTCTGTACGCATCCAGGACAGATGCAGCTGTTTTCAAACACTTTTAGTCCTTGGGGCTGAATCTGGGGTCAATGAGCTACAGATGTGAAGGGTCAACTGTGCATGTACATAAGCTCTTCTGAACTTAAGTGGGTGATCAGCAACCTTTCCTTTTCTGTCAGGGCCAATCCTGGCCCCTTCTAAGAGGTCCCCCGCTGGCTGGGCATCCTACCTCCCACTAGGCACCCCTGGGTGGGAAGGGACCTCTGGCACCAGCACCATTCAGAGATGCATGCACCCTGGAGGTTCAGCCCACTGTCCTTGAGAGAGACATGCACCTCGCTTCAGCCTTGCTGGCTTCTTTGTCTTGATGTCATACAGGAGGCAGAAGCGGCTTGCAGCCCGACACACGTCCCATACCCCTTGCTTCCGGGCAACCTTGGCCAGCTCTGCCCAAATCTGGATTCTGCTCCACAAGGTTCAAACAGGAGAAGAGCAAGTTCAGTCCAAGTGGTGAAATTAAAAGCTACCGGAAAAGACAGCTTGAGAGGAAAAGCCAATGTTGTGTGCTTTTGAGGGTACAAAGAACTATCTTGGGTCACAGTAATGTTCAAGGCAGGGGTGTAAGATGAGAGAAACAGCCCTGGCTGGTGGATGAAAGCAGGGGCAGGGCCCAGGGCTCAGTGTGGGGTGTTCCTGGGCTCAGGTGCAGCTCACTGGTTCTTCCCCCCAGGCGCCGGTGATGCTGAGCCTTCCCACTCCTGCGACAATGACAAATGGCCCACATGATGTGTCCCCCTGGCTGGGGTGTGGGGTGAGTTCCTAGGTTGGGGGACCCCTGGTCTGCCCTAGGTAATGTGTCATGATTGTTGGCACCGTGCACCACAGGCTACGCACTGATGGGCTGAAACCTGCTGTTTTTCAGAGCCGGGCAGGCGAGGTCCCTCCCTGGGCCTCGGGGGTGGGGCACAGAGACACTGGGGCCTGCACTCCGGGCAGCCAGAGGCATGGCCTCCTTGACAGTGCTCCCGGGCTGGCAGGCCCTTCCTGTGGGCTCCACTTTCTTTGTGTTTCTGTCAGCTTCTTCTCAGGAAAAATGCTCGTTGCCTTGCCTTCTTACCTCTCTTGGTCGTTCTCATGTCCTAGACGCTGCAAGTGCCCAGCAGCCTTGTCCACGCTGAACATGTGATGTCGGGCCTTGGCGAACAGGTAGCTGAAGCGGCCCCTGTTCTTCCCGATGGAAACTGAAGACAGAAATCAGAACACAAACGTCAATGGGTCTTTTAAGGGTCTAGGCGACAAAGAAATTTTAAAAAAATATTTTTATTGGAATAGTACTAACAATTACACTCATTGTGGGGAATCAGTACAGGTATATGAAATTTCTTAATTCTTTTTTAACCCTCTCCCCTTCCCCCTTCCTCTCTGTATTGCTTGGACCCTTCTATACATATGAAGGTATGTAGACTTATACCCTTCTGTCTGACACACGTCCCTACCCCTTGCCCATAGAAGGTACCTTTCTGTACATTATAATAAGCGTGTTTGTAGTGCATGTTGATCATGTTCCTTGTAGGGCCCTGGTGTGCATGCACAACACCTCACAACCCCCCACTCTTTTTACCTTCATTTTCCTGCCCTCCCTCCCCACCCGCTTCTGTCTCTTGCTTCTCTACCCCTGAGCCAAAGGTCCATCTTGGTATTTCCTATTGTTTATCTTTTATTTTCAGTGAGTGAAGAATTAGCTGCTGTATTCAACAAGAACGTCAACGGCAAACAGCAACCTGGTCACCTGCCCCTGGGCAGCACCCCGGGGCTCCTGCAGTGGGTGGTGCCTTCTTTCTTGCTTGTTTGTTTGTGGTGCTGAGGATGGAAGCCAGGGCCTGGAACGTGCTAGGTAAGCAAGTGCTCTACTACTGAGCAGCATCCCTGGCCCTGTTGATTTCATTTAGAGACAGGGTCTGGCAAGGCTGCCCCGGTGAGCCCTGAGCTCCTGAGCCTCCTGCCTCTGCCTCAGCCTCCTGAGTATATGACATTAAAGGTTTGTGTCACCAGCTTGTTTCTCTTCTGACAGTGATCAGAAGTAAGTAGCTGTCCTGTAGCGTGCACAGAGGGAAACTCTTCGAGAACCCCGCTGTCATCTGTGCACCAGCCAGCCAGTCTTCCTGCCAGAAGTACCAAACCTCTGACCTGACTGCATCTCACCCTGGCCCTTCCAGCCATGCCCATTGCCCACTGGAGAGGGGCGTTCACCTTTGGCCTCATTCTCACTGTCTAGCACGATCTGGAAGGTGTCCGGGGCAAGAGCCAGGCCTGCGTTCACCAGGAGGGCCCGCTTCTTCCTGACACTGTCTTTTGGCATAACTTTTTTTGCCTAAAAAGAAAAGGAAGGACCAGTTTGACGCACATGTTGTCTAAAGCACCCTCTGTTTTTGGTCCTTCTAAGTATACAGAGAAACACTTGGGGTAACTTTCTGAGGCACAACAGTCCTCCTTGCTGGTGGGGGGGGGGACACAGCTCATCCTGCCATACCCTACCCTTCAGTCCTTGCTTGTGTTGAGTCTGCAAAGACCTGGGGTCCTTTCTAGCTGCCCTCCCCAGCCAGCCCCACAACAGGCTGTGCCCGTACCTGTTCAATGGCCATGATGGCCTTGTCTTCTGCACGCTCTGGAGACTGGTACAGCATGGTGCACAGGTGTAGCCGGTTCAAAGCTGTTCTGAGTTTGTCCTGGTAGAGGCCCAGGCTGTCTAGGCTCATGGCCTTCTGCAGGTGCTCCATGGCAGGCTCCAGCCGGTCTTCATCCTCCTCAATGCATGCCATTTCCATGTGCACTTGGCAGCGAAGCATGGTCATGAGGCTGGGAGATGGGCACATGTGCTTGGTGGCCCAGCAGGGGGGGTAGGGCTGGTGTCCACCCTCCAGAAGGAGCAGCAGATGCCTTGGCCTCCAGGTGCCCCTGGCTTTCTAGCCTCCCTCTGATCATACCTTGCCTTGTTTTGAGGACCCCCCATGCTAGGCCAGAGGGGCGGCCCTTGCAGACTACTAGAGACCTCAGAGCCCAACTGGTGAGTGCTACTAGGCCTGGGCTCAGGACGAGTGACATGCGGCAAGGTAGATGAGACTTTATGTGACTTGAGCTCCAGAGGGAGCGAAACTCATAAAACCATGGGGAAGCCATTACTCCTCATGCTGTCCATCATGCAAATGCCTCTCTCTCTCTCTCTCTCTCTCTCTCTCTCTCTCTCTCTCTCTCTCTCTCTCATCCTGGTGTCACTACTGTGGTGAGCACAACAGCCCCTCAACCCTGCCGTGGAGAAGCCCTTGGGTCTGAGCAAGCTTTGCGTGGAAGAGGGTCATCTCAACCACTGTCCCAAGAAGTGGGACACCCAGAAGACTGCAGAGTAAAGATTTTGGAAGACCTGAGGACAGAAAACTTTCCACCAAAACAGGGAAGTTACACGTAATCTCAGAAGAAACCAGGTCAGGGAAAGGAGGAATGTTGTGGGGCTGCATGGAGAAACAGAAGCAGAGAAAGCCCGTGATGTCAGGGCTCCTGCAGGAGCCAGGAGCCCAAGACACCTTGGCAGGGGCCAGCGGGACTCTGGTCAAAGCCAAGTGTGCCTCCAGCTGGAGTCACCTTTGCATGGCCTCGGGCTAAGAACAAAAAAGCTAGTGAAAGGAGGAGTGGGCGCCACATGGGGAGCAGTGCAGCACCCGGAGAATGAGCCCGCTGGGCCCTGAACCCCACACATAAGACTCTGCCCGAGCTGGGTTCCTGAGAGGAAGGCCAGGTCTGCCAGGAGCAGCACACGGAGACGAGCCCTTGAGCGACAGATGCCAGATGCAAAAGCCATGGCCAGCAGACTCACAAAACAGAGTCCACATCCTTCAACAAAGAGCTGACGGGCCAGCAAAATGGCTTCAGGCTAGTAATTTCCTGTTACTTTTGATTCTAACTCTGATAAACTAGTTCTTACTGGACCACTGTGCCAAACACTGCATACATAAAACTAGACCAAATACAAAAGGCAGCTGTTCCCAGGCATGGATACCAGGCAAAACAAAACTGTAGCCTCTGAGAGAGGAAGACTCAAGAACGAGCCAGGGATGGTGGCCAGACAGCCTCCTGGCAGCGACAGAGTAGGTGGAACCCTTGAAATGCCCACTGAGCTAGGGAGGTGGAGCACCGCCCCAGGAGAACCACAAGGCACAGCCTCATGAGGTCTGCAAAGACAAGGTGTTCGGAGATTGAATCCCAGGAGAGGGGGCCTGGGAAACACCTTGGGCCTCCCGAGATGCACCGAGACAGGGCGTAAAACAACCCTACATGATAGCGAAGCAAGCAGCTCATAACCCAACCGCCAAGTAGAACGAAACCCAACAATTCTCTGAAAAAGGTAACAAAATCAGCAATTACAGTGTATCACCCATGGCAGTGGCATTCACTGCTGGGATGGCAGCAGAGGACTGTCATCCACGGTCAGGACACAGGTGGGTCAGAAGTTGGCCTGGCAAATAAGTTATGTAAAGCGGATGACACAATATAAATATAATATGCTCCAAAATTGAGGGAGAAGAGAGTACTAATGAGTGAATAAGTAGGGACTCTCTATACAAAAGTGAAAAGTGAGAGAAAATGGAAAGACTAAATCTAAAAACTACAACTGAAGTAGTAGAAAATCCTACTTGAGTGTGACAGCAGATTGGGGAGAGCTCATGAACTTGAAAATGGATCTGTTGAAATTAGCCCATCAGAATAACAGGACAGAAGGTTTTTAAAAATAAGCAGAGAATGGGGTGCTGCAGAACAGTGGGCTCCCCAGGGAGATAGTTCAGCGGTCTAAGCACCTGCCTGGCAACCGCAAGGACCTGGGTTCGATTCCTGGTGCTGCATGCTATGCCGACCCCTGAACCCTGTGTGTGCCGAGCTGGTCCCCAAACTGGGTGTGGTGGTAACCCCAGCGCTGGGGAGGCTGAGACAAGAGATCACTAGGAGTCCTAGCTGTGTAGCGAGACCCTGTGCCAACTACATAAACAAACAAACAAATAAATAAATGATTTTTTAAAAAATGACGTAAGTGACCTTACACAGGCTGTGCTAAGTGAAGAAGCGACGCCCCTGGAGAAACCACCTTCCCCCAGAGGGCAGGAGAGGAAACAGAGGAGACTTCTAGAACATGCCGCCAGCTCCAGAGAAAGCCGGGAAGGAGCAACAGTGGAGTGAAAAGGCGGCGCACGCGAGGAGCACGTAATGAGACGATGGGCCGAATCAGAGGTCCGCTACTGAGAAGCCGCGCAATCCCACTAAGCAGCAGAGACTGTTGTTTCAGGTGAAAAAGCAGGACTCATCTCTGTTGTGTAAAAGCCATGCACTTAAAAATACCCTTTGAGGAGCCAGGGAGATGGCTCAGTAGAATAAGCATTTGCCTGGCAAGCGCAAGGGCCTGAGTTCAATCCCCGGTTCTGCAAAAAACAAAACAACAACAACAAAAAAACCCCTTTGAACTTTCAATCTAAGAAAACAAATAAGCCCGGAATTCACTGCCAGAAGCGAGTGTGCCGCACAGCAGTGAGAGCGCAGAGTCGGCGTGGCAGCACCGCAGGAAGCTCCGGGAGGCGCCTGTAGGACCCCGACCCTGGAGAGTGGAACTCAGAGCTGCGGGAAGAGCCAGCCGCCCATGCAGAGCTGGTCTCTGCACTCTTCCTGTCTTGGTCAGAGTTAGAACTAACACACACACACACACACACACACACACACACAAAAGACATAGGAAGTGTGAGCCATCAGGTAAGCGGAGGGACCAGGGGTTCTGTTCCCGTACCGCCTGCAGCGCGGGCCCTTCCCCCGGGCATGCTGAGCCAGCAAATGAGTCTGGGAGTGGTGACGTGCACCTGCAGTGCCAGCGCTGAGGAGGCTGAAAACAGGAGGATCACTATGAGTCCCTGTACCGATACATAAAATGAAAAAGAAAAGAGGGGAGGGGAGGGGAGGGGAGGGGAGGGGAGGGGGAGGGAAGAGGAGGGAAGAGAAGGGAAGGTGTGACCTGGCATGGAAGAAGGAGCCAGCAAGACCCTTGTCGGGAGCAAGCAGTCGCCCCTCAGCTTTCCACTGTCTAAGACCAAAACGCTCCCATGAAACTAAACAAGACAAAACAGAGCAAAACAGAAGAGAACAAAACAGAACAAACTGCCCTGCTGGCCTAGATAGCTTTGTTGTTGAATTCTAGCAAATATTTAAGGGAACAAAGTTACAAGTGGTCCACAATCTGCTTTGGAAAGTGACTGTAGAGAAACACTTCCCAATGTGTAGAGCCAGCAGAATCCTGGAGTCAAATCTGACACAAACACAAGTTTTGAGCAGGTGTGTCCCAACAGGGAGCAGGAGAGCATCAACAAGCCAATGGAAGAAGCTCCTCACTGGTCCTAAAGGCAATAAGAATGTCTACTGTGACATACCCAAGAACAATACAAATTAAAAGAATGGATCAACTAAGTGCTGCAGAGAAGTAACTGGGACTCCAACTGTGGTGTGAGCAGAGATGCAGCCTGGGAAGAGCGCCTCTCAAAACAGCAGTACACTGGCTACACGTCCAGTCCTGCTTTAAGGAGACATTTTCAAGCTCCTTTTCAGCTAATCCCAATCCCTGTCCATGGATAAAGAGAAACAGTTGACTATTCACATCATTGATGGAGGCGACATAGTGAAATGTGAACAACGCCAGGCTCAGCGGGTGCTATGCACCCCACCAACAATGCTCAAGAGGAGGAGTGTGCCCACAGGGACAGGAGCAGTGTGACTTTGTCTCTCTCCAATGGCAGCCAGATGGTACACACCTGTCCACCTTCTCCAGGACCTCTGCGATGTTGGTCAGCGGCTTGCGCAGGTGGCTCCGCAGGCTGTGCTGCAGGAGAGGCAGGCAGGTGTTCCACTGGGCTGTGCACACCACCTGGATGACCTGTGGGTCACCCAGGCGGATGGCACGCTGCAGTGCCATGTCCAGTCTCTTTATGATGTCCAGCTGGGCCTGAGGGGGTACATTGAGAGAATCTGTTGTTACGGCTTATACCTAGAGACACCCCAAAGCTGCATGTACACAGACGTGGGGCTTTTAGGATAATACATCTAACAGTGTGGCTGGATAAGAGTGTGTGATTTTGGCATTAAGAGTGTGTGGTACTAAATTAGTCCAGTGATTGAAGCTGCAGTTCTAGGCCTTACTACCCCAAAGGCTGGTGATCTGGGTGGGATAATGCGAAAGGCTGGTTGCTTGCTGCTTGCTGCCTTCTGCTTGCCGGACCATGAACTATTTCTCCTCTGTGATGCCCTGTGTCAGGCCGCCCTGCCCTGGAGGCAGCCCTGTGGACTAAAACCTCTACAGACTGTGAGCTGAAATAAACCTTTTCTCCTCTAACTTTGGGAAGCAACTAAGACATTGTGAAGGGTATTAGACTGGTGCTAGTTATGAGGCCTATCCAATACGGTCTCGGAGGGCTGGTGCTAGCAGTTCTGACTGAGTTTAGGGGCTTGAAGACTAGGGTTCAGGGCAGCAGGTGGGCCAGGTGTACCCTGAGAACTCAAGACAATGTGCCAAGCCAGGCCCTGAGTCTGTGGGGAGACCATCTCAGTTTGGTTTTTTTTTTCTAAAAGGGAGACATGCTGACAAGACTTAAAAGTGTGCACTTCATCGTATACCTCTTCCAGGAGGGGAGTCAAAGTCTCTTTGGTATCTAGTTAGCGGACCAGTATCAGTGACGGTAAACCTATGGCATATGTGCCGCAGTGGGCACGCCAGCCAAGTGGTCCAGCATCGCCCTAGCCGCTGAGCATTAGGGATTGACTGCGGTGCTGGCACTTGGCAATAAATGAGTCTTGCTTTGAGGTTTGGGCACTTGGTCTCTAAAAGGCTTGCCATCACTGGCCTGTGTCCATGGTGCTCACTAGCCAAAGAGCTTCTCCCCTGTTTTGTTCTGTAGTAGCTTCCCACCAGAAAGGCTCCAGTCTGGAATTTCAGGGCCCCAAGCTCTGAGCCTTCCTAAGCCCCGCCTGTGCTTTGCAGGACCGCCTCTCCATAGTCTCTTTCTTCCAAGCCCTGGGGGTCGCCCTCACACCGCTCCTGGGCCATGGGGTCCAGCATGCACTGGGAATGCATGAGCCACGCCTGCTAGCACCTAAGACAAGCCCAGCAGAGCCTCACAGGCCTGCGGCGTGTACGCAGCCCCTCTCGAGTTCACCAAGACGGAGGTGCCGTGTGGCGCAGCTATGCAGCTCACAGCGCCACACTCACAGGCAGCCTCGACTGCAGTTTCACTGTAAAATGTGGCTCTCCCAAGCCCTTGACTTATAAAAAGGAGAAAACATCCACCAGGCGGTAGTGATTGCTCATGAGGCAGCGGGCAGGTGTGCGGGCCAGGGAAACCCCTCCATTGTCTGACGTCCTGCAGTGCAGTTGGGGCTGGCTCCTCCCCCTCCCCCTGGGCACAGAGGAGCGGCATGCACAGGGCTGGTGCAAGGGTCCCCCGGGCGGAGCCCAGGGGCACTGCCGTAGATCAGCGCTGCTGGACTTCATCTGGGGCAGTACGTTTTTGTTGTCTTTTAGGAAAACAAAAAGCCTGTGAAGTTCTGACTGAAAAAAAAAGCCTGGTGATTTTTGTCAGTGGCTCCTACTCCACTTGGGAGGTGGATAAGAGACATACAAGGCACTCACGGTGTGTAACTCCTCCCTTACGAAGGGACCTGCCTGCAGAAGGACCAGATGGAGCACGCTACCGGATGCCCGAGCTCCACACAGCACGTGAGGAACTAAGAGCAGCACCCTCCTCTCAGGCACGCGTTACCAGCACTGGAGGACGCGCACGCAGCTCTAGACAGGCCCCAGGAGGACATGGCTCAAGGAGACTCGTGTCCTGGATCGCAATGTGTCGGAGAGGCTACGACGGCCCTGGGGCATGCGGGGAGCCCTGCCGGGGAGGAGGGGGGCTCGCTCTGGTGCCTCGGGCACTGTGCAGTTGCAGTGGTCCTACAAAGGCGCCGAGTCTTCACCCCTGCACGGTAAGGAGGCGGAGTCCCAGCCGGCCTGCCCTGCCATCCTGGGTGCCAGGGCAGAGCTCAGCGGGCGCAGCGTGGGGTCCAGCCACGGCCTCTGTGCCCTCACCCCTGGCACATACTCAGTGCACCCTTGTCCCCGCCAACCTGCAGAACAGTGGACTGTGTGTCGCATCTCTTATTTAATGTTTTTACCTCTACAGCTCCTCGGAGGTAGAGTTTCACCTTATTTTCGAGTCCTGCAACTTCTAATTCACACTCCAGACATTCAATTTCAATCAGATTCCCGGGATCCTAGAGATAAGATTTTGCACATAGAGACAGGTTTTTAATTAAAGGAGTCATTTAACTTTAAAGGCCACTTCAAAACATTATGACTGCAGGAAGTCAAAAGTCAGCAAATAAAAACCATAAGATAATACAAAAATATATAAGAAAATTTGAAATGTTTCCAAATATAATACAAGTTTGAGTAAGAAGGCTAAAAAGTATTGTTTTTACCTTTTTGATAGAGAGGGAAAACTCATTAATTTCAGTAGACTTCAAAGTCTTAAATAATTAAACAATTTCAGATGAACTTCTTCCTGTGAGATTTAGCAAAGTGTGTTCATTTTCACTTGAAGTTTTGACTCATGGGTTATTAAGAAATGTATAGTTTAGTTTACAAATGTTTAGATTTTTTCTGGTCTATGGTTGATTTCAAATTTAATCCCATGTGGTCAGTGAATAATTTGATTAGAATACTTCTATTCATATTTTAGACAGGATTATAATCTATCTTGCTCTGTGTATTTGAGAAGAGTGAACATTCTTGTGCTTTGGACACCTTTTATATCTCTCCCAGGTTACGCTGACAAAGTTTTTATATCTTTATGATTTCTGTCTAGCTATTTTATTGATTAGTCAGAGCAGAATGCTGAAATGACTGACTTTAATATTGGATTCTATCTATTTTTCCTCACTATTCTATCAATTTTTGTTTCATTTGTTTTAAAATATTGTGGGTATACAAACTTTAAGGACTGGTCTCTCTTCTGACTCTATCGCTATCATTAAAAAAAAAAAAAAAAGTCAGCCACACTGTGTAGTGTAAGTGTAGCCAGTCCAGCTTGTTTTCTACTACTGTTAGTGCTGTGTGTTAGTGTGAGCCAGAATATGTGGATTAGTGTGACCGTGGCCTGTGTATGTCAGCATGAACAGTACACACGTGTATTTGTGTTAGCAGGTGGGTGTGTTTTAGCCTGAATATGGGGTAACGTTTAGGGTGAGCACAGCGCGTACATAACAACATAACGGGGCTCACGGATTAGCGCGGGCACAGCATTCCTCCCTGTCCTCTAACTTCCAGTGTATCTCACACTGAAAGTGGGTTTCTTGCAGGCATCTGCTTTTCTCCAATGTGACAATATTTGCCCTTTAATTGGAATATCTGGACATTAATTATTAAAGTGTGTTATGGTTTAGGTCTAGATATGCCCCAAAGCCTCAGGCAGTCATTAGGCCAGGTTTCTAGAGCTTGTGATCCATTCATGGTCCAATGCTGGGATTATGGGTGTGGCTGCTACACCCACTCTGGGGCGGACAGCCTGGATAGGATATGGGGAGGGGAGAGAGGCTTGCTGGCTGCCCCTGCTGCTGCTCTTCCCTTTGCTCTTTGCTGTTTTCTGCTGCCATGAACGACTGCCTGTTGCCATGTGCCACTCTGCCTTGGAGCCAGCTAATGAAACCCCCACTAACTGTGAGCTAAATAAACCTTTCTTTCCTTAATTTTGGGCGTTGGGTATTTTGTCCCAGCAATAACAAAGTGATTCCAATATGATTAGATGTAGTCAACTCTAAAGACAGTACAGCATTAATTTTTGTCCCATCTTTTATTGACTGTTCATCTCGCCTTCAGTCTTCAGTTAATTGATCATCTTTCTTGGTTTCATTGTTATCTTCTTTGTTAGTTTACTAGCTGCAGCTCTACTCTAACCGAATGGCTGCTTCGGGGCATAGAGGGCACACTGTCCATCTCAGTCTTCTGTCGAGGGGCATCACTCCACGCACAGCTAGGTGCAACCGTGCAGGTGTGAACGCTTTCTGCCTGCACCCCGCCATCCCTCCCCTCCTGCCTTTCTCCTACTGTTGTCATACAGCCTAGCCCGCCTGTCAAAAACGTCACAGAACACCCTCCTTGTCTTCGCAATGCTTTTCGGTTCCATTGCACTGAGTAGAGCCGGATTTCTGTGGAAATATCTTTCTCTTGCCTGAATATTTTCTGGAAGTGGAAGTCAAACTCGTTCAGCTTCTGTATATTTTAATAAACTTTTAAAAC